CAAAGATTGTTTTTTTTTTTTGAAGGGAGAGGGGGAGAGGCCACTGAATTTATTCACGTTTTGCTAACGTTCGTTTGTAAATATTTACGGGGAATGAGCTAGCATCCACGAGATAGAGGGAAGGGCAGAGGGGGAGGGTGAGGGGGAAGGGTGACAAAAGGAGCTGGAAAGGAAAAAGCGAAAATTTTATGAATGCCAAGTTTTATTAGATAATAAGAACCTTGCACGGAGTCCAGCAGGGTCCATTCGGAAACAGGAGATATGACAAATGATAATGAATGGTGACATAATCATAATAAAGTTGACATAATGATACTTGTACAACGATCTAATCATGATAATGGTGTTATATAATGGTAGTGTATAATGATATAATCGTAATCAAATGATAATTTATATCATTCAATCAAGAAGAGTATTGGGTTTAGAGATATAGGACGAATTTGGTTTTAAGTGCGATCATTCTTGGCATTTTGCCCGCTTTATTACTCCCCTGATCTTTGTATTTTATTCTCCTGGTTAGCGTTTATGAAGGGAATATTTGAAACGGAATTAATGTAACTCATCGGTTCATTGCTCTGTCATGTTTTTTCGGCTTTTTTTTACTTTTGCTGCATTTGCTTTTTCTAATTTTGCAGTACATATTGGTTCTCCACGTATGCCACTACCTGGTGGCGTGCATTACGGTAATCAGCATTATGATTTGAAGCAAATTGTGCCAAATTCACGGGTCATCGTTGTGCCACCAAAAGGCGATGGTATTCATTGGCAAAGCAGGCTCTATCTCACACCCAGCCAGGTACTCTCTTAACATTCTGGATATTCAGTTAGTAGTAAGCAATCGCCTGAGTGTTCCCAAAAGGGATAAATTGAGAGCTTTTATAATAACGTAATTGAAAATTGATTAGGCATACAGCTGCTCAGAATTGAGTTTGGCGCGCCGAAATACGCCCAATGGAATATCTCAACAGCGTCAGAGCTTCTTAGAAATACTGATCATTGTGCTGGCAGTTACTGAACTACGTGTATGTATGTCGTTTACATATATATTCTATAGTTTTGTAGGCGAATCCAAGGGTGGGGGAGGGAGGCGATGGGCCTTTCGCCTTCCCCCTCCTCCTACTCCCTCCCCCAGCGGTACAGATACCAGTGCTACAGAAGTCTGGGTCTTAAGTTAAAACTGAAGAAAACTCTCTTCCGCACCCCCGGCCTCCTTCTCTCCCGTTGTCATCACCGCACCGGTAGAGCCAGTTCTCTTCCCCAAGAAGGATATCTGACGATACTCCCACGAGAAGCGTACACTTTCCAATTTGTCTCGACTTTTTGCGGGACTTCCGCAGCAGGTCAGCTAGTATTTTGGCTATTGGTAGCATAGCAGCAACTTTTGTACTGCTTCTGAGAAGCCCACAATGAAAGGGAACTTCGACAGTGGCCAGTATTGCTTTTTAGGCAAATATGGACACAAATGCATCAACTAGCTGAGGCATATTAGACACGTGTGCATCACTAGCTTCAGCTTGAACTGTTAGCTTGCATTTTTTAATTGTCGGAAGATTGATTTGTCAACTTCAGACTCCAGTGTTGAAAAGCCTGGCTATTTGCTCTCGGTGTGTGGGTGCATCCAAGTAACATCACTAACATAGGAATCTCAGTGCTCACTGTCCAATCTCAGTGGGTGATATCCTTGGTATATTGATTAGGTGTCTTCCTGTGCCGCCAGTACAGCTGACAGTGTTTTATGGTAGTTTTAGGATCGAAACCTGATTTGCTGTGTGTTTTTGTTTCTCGCGCTGTTGTTCTCTTGACTTCTCTCTTTTCTTTTGAATGGTAATGCTAGGTGAATCACGATTTCTGTGCCACTTACTGTTTGTTCTTTTAACAGCTAAGGGGTGAAACACAGACTGTAAACTGACTTGTTCCTTTCCTAAATGTAAATTATCAGATACCTTACCTGTATATATATATATATATATATATATA